GGTTAAAAATCATAAATACTCGGTAGAAAGTAGAAACTCTAGCAATTTGTTTACCTGTCGTGAAAAATAAGTGTGGGTCCATTTATGTTACAAATCTATTAAGTAGCTCACAATCTCCCAATTATGAAGATTTGGGATGCGCACTTAATTTGTGTTTTATTAGGCCGGGTTTCATAAATAATTTAAATACAAAGGCTTCTCATATTAAGCGCGAGCAAGCTGTATGGAAAACTGTTTATGCTTTGTTTTTGCAGCCATTCTGAGCAAATAATATCAATGCTTCCATTTCTAAAGATTTGTTTCAATGTATTAAAACAAGTCAAGCCTCACAGTACACTGTACACAAAATGATAAATCCCATCCTTATTCAGTTATTGACTACTCTTCGTATATGCTAACTTGATTTTACCGAGGGCAGGTAGCATTTGCTAAAAGAGCATTCCATGATCCAGACCTCAGAATGGCACACAACGTGCACAAGATGTCTTCGCTGTTTGGTGGGGCACTCTTCATCGCTGATGACCTGTTCCCGGAAACGCCATTTCTCCATGCCGGCTGGCATCTTGCTGCTGCTGTTGGGGTCAGTGCCTGTAACAAGCTTCTCCACTAAACTCTCTTTATCCAAAAACCTCCAATCAATTTGCCGAAATATCAGCTACCCTTTTTGTTATCAATGATTCAATGGGGATAGGCTTGCCACATCGAATCTTGGATCAAAAGTTGCAATTCACTGGTCTAGCAAGCTGGAATAGTTAGGTAGCATTTTAAATTTTAATGTGTGGGATAGAACAAATCCTGTTTGGCTATATCTGTACTTTAATGCATTATGTATGTACTTAAGGCAACCATTGTTGCCTTCTCATGGCTTGAAATAATTCAAGAGCTTAATAATTATATTAAGCTCATCGAGGAATAATTAGTTTATTTCTTAAGGCTTTATCTATTACAACCTCTGTCCCAATTTGATGGTACCAGTTCTTATTCACATGGTCAACACAAATCACTCTTTGTCTCTTACTTTATACTATCGTAGTATCGTATATCAAATTTTATCAAATTTGATTCAGGCGTTTGCGACTTTGTAAAGCTTTTAATGTAATTTCTGAATATGTAATTTTTTTTCTAAAAATAATTTGAGTGCAGACAGGGATCTGTTTGCTTTATCGTCAGTCAAATATCGTAAACCACAATGGTAATATGGTATCATCAAATTGAAAAGAGGGAGTATCTGATGGTGTTTGCTCTGAGAAAAGTAAACTCGCCACTAATACCTACAAGTCTTAATTACTTTCTGTCTTTTGCTCTTCATATGCTTATAAGTTGTCGCTTCTATCTTGTAAGGGAATGCTGTTGTGATTAATACCGTTTCACTTCTCTATGAAAGAATGCACTCACACATTATTGATTTTCTTAAAAACTTTCGGAAGTCAAGTCAAATGTAGTTATCAATTTGGCTGGTAGGAATAAAGCTTTAATAGGAATAGTTTATGTAATACAGTAATAGGATGAACCTAAATCTTCCCTCAGTCCCTACTCCCTAGTCTCATGCTTTTTTGTCACAAAAGTTGAGAAATGGTGTTAAATTCTATTTCCTAGTCACCTATTCATCACTAAGAGTCTAAGACGACCTGCCCTCCCCTTTCGAATCTTCATACCCACCTCCATTTTTTTTTATCCATTTTTTTTATCCCCGTTCTTTTTAGTCTTCGAATTTGTATCACTTAAAATCCTACACGAATGTGTGCATGAGAGATATACAAAATGTACACAATCTCACTCAATTTCAAACTTGAATGGATACAAAATCGATACACAACCTTTTTGGTATGTTGTAGTGTTTTTGTCTCATTATTTGTTTGGGTTTACAAATATTTTACATGTCAAATGATTTACTAAGACGATATGAATATTCTTTTTGGAGTCGATTTCTCTTACAAGTGATATAGGATAACTGTTCATTGACTGAACTTGTAGTAATTGAACACCACAAACATCACATATACACGGCCGTATTTTAGGCTAAAGCTGTCCACAAGAAGAAGTTTTACATCCTAAACAATTTGTAATGAGTCTCAAAATGGAGGGAAACACAAATTTATACGGAGTAACAAGGAACAATCTGATTTTTTAAAAATTACAACTACATTAAAGATCCAGGTTTCTGACGTATGTGTCCTCCACATATACATACGGGTCTTCTTTGTCATCATCTTGTATTTTTGTCTGCATACTCGCCTCCATACTCGCCTCCATCGGTTGTGCAGTTCTGCCACCTCCACCCAAGCTAGCTCCCAATCTAGGGTTTCAGGTTCGCAATCAACATCCTTCTCATCGTCGGAATCGGATTCTATCCCTTCAATCTTTGCCTCACGAATGATATAATCTAGAAATAGCATGACATTGAGGGCGGAGTCTAGATATTCATAAGCGGGACTCTCGTGAAACGCGAAAGTGATTTCACAGGATTTATTTAACAGAGATATATGTATCATCATTGTCAAAGGAGATAACATGCAGAGAAGAAAGAGCGACGGGACAAGGAAATGTGAGAGACAACGAAGGCTACAAAGTGAGAGACGAAAGAGATGAAGGTCTAGCTCGAATAATCAAGAGGTAAATGAGGGCACATAAAAAAGGTGAATAAGGGACATCGAAAAACATAAGGATACATAGGGCCATAGGAGAACATAATAATACATAAAGGGTATATCAACTATTTCATAATTAAATGTTTTCCAGATAAAGAAATTTGATCATTCTGGAGCATTCCAAAAAGGAAATAAGTGAACATCAAATTGGGACGAAGGGGGTAGTATATTACACATGGTCCTCATCCTATTCTTGCTCAACTTTATTTGACGACTTTGACATCATATTATGGACAATTGCTCGATCTATCTCTAAGTCATCTTTATTTGATGACTCAGACTATATATCATAGTGGGCTACTCGTCGTTTTCTCTCGATCATCTTCACTTGATGACCCGGAGATCAAACGAGGTGGGGGATGAACTAGAGAGGTCGAGACTGACTAAATGAGTATGAAGCCAAAGATAAAGATGAGTATGAAGCCAAAGATAAAGCAGATTAGACACATCAAATCAGACGACCATTGCTCACATTAGAACACCAATCTTGGTCATTCCTTTAATTTGCAGATGACGACTATTGCAGTTGAATTCAGTAGCCAAAGGTAAGGGCTCACCTATTTTGCTTCAATCGGGGGCATTTGGTGTACTTTTTTTCCTCACTAGGAATTTCCCCATTGGACTTATTACTTGTGAGGGTTATAATGTGACATCTCCCAATTATGGACAAAAGGTGATGACCCTCAACCCATAGAAGAGTCGTCATGAGACAATCCCTACTCTACTTCTTTTCATCTCGACTACATTTTTCTCGAGGAATGGAGCACTATAGGAACGAAGGACTTAAATTTTTAACACAAGCTCAAATTTGTAACAAATTAAATATTGCCAAAACATCGCGCATAATGTCACACCATATGAAGACTAATTGCCACATCAACAAAGAAGTAGAAACATAAAGCCCTTGGCCCCAGAATTGATTGTGAATGTCTCAGGTGTGTGACCTTCGATTGAGGATTCTCCAATAGGATTGCCTCGCCCAAAGCTCACCAATGAAAACATATCAATAATCTGGCTATCTGGGCAACAACAAATCAACACCGGTAATATCGGCACATAGTTCTAATCCCTTTTGTCTCGACCATATGTGAACTATTGATAGAGTGTATGGACTCGGACCATAGTATTGTGACTATTTGGCTTGGACAGTGATCTACCAACGTCTAGTAGGTAACATTTATTTTATTAGACGCTTTACATTTCATTTTCACATGTTAGTATAACTTTTATACTCCCTTCGTATTAAAATAATTGTCCAAATTTCTTTTTCAGGTTGTATCAAATTAATTGTCTCATTTTCTTTTTTTGTTTGAAACGAAATCTATTGTAAAAGCAAATGCAATACACTTTAATAAAGCATTCAACACACTATAATACCAAAACCTCTCACTCTTTGTAAAGTGTACAATAATTATCTCAAATCACGTGAAAAAGCAAATGAGACGGTTATTTTGATACAAAAGGAGTACCATTTATTAGCTCTTTTTATATAATTAAGCCTGCTAGACCCAATTAGATAGCTCAACCCACATTTTCTCTATAGATACTCTTTTTGGGAGCCATGTAAAGAAATATTATTCGTTATATATACTGAGTTCTCTCTTAATTAACACATTGTGCCCACTAACCGGTGCTCGACTACTAGCGTCTAGCTATTTCATATCACCTCGAACCCCTAAGATTGAAAAGGAGTAAAAGGTCAGATTGATCCTCAAAATTGCATAAAAGGATCAAATAAGTCCTTATGTAGGAAAGTTTGTGCTTTCAAGAAAAGCTTTGTAACCTACGTTTTCTTGAAGATAACTGCGCTTTTAAGAAAAACTTGTGAAACTAAGATAGTGGATGAGGAGTCGTGTCTGCAAGTCATAGGCTCAAGTAAGATTATATCATAAAACTAATTTATTGTTATTTTCAAAAAAAAAAAAAAACTACTCCCTCCGTTCCCAAAAATACTTCCCACATTCCCTTTTGGGTCGTTCCAAAAAATTCTTCCCACTTTCCCTTTTTGGACAATTTGTGTGGCTCACATTCATTTTACTTTTTTCTTACACAACCACAATCATACATTTCCACTTTATTCTATTTTCTTAATAGGCGTGTCAAGTAGAAAAGAATTTGGAAAAATCTGTTTGTACCCACTATTGTACCCACTATTGTACCCATCATGTCTGTGAGAAGTTTTTTTTTGTCCGTGAATCCCGGTACAAAAATATGTCTATGAAGACATGGTGGGTACAAAAATGGGTATAATAGTAGATACAACAAGAAGAATACAAAGAATTTTTAGGAACCCAGGTAGTCATTTATTGCTTTTTAATCTGGTATCTCTCTGATCCATATGTACGAGAACAGAAACGCGTCACTCGCCTCGTGCAATCTGCCATTCGCGAACCGCGAACTGAACGCAGTCACGCAGAACCGTGAAGGCTAGAACGCCGGATTCGTTTCATCCACGAAGACCTGAAGACCGAAGACGGAGAGAGGACGAAGTCACGAAGTTGGAACGCCGACCAGATACCGACGCTGCGACGGCTGCGAGCCTGGTAGCCTGCGACGCTTCACGCCTCCCGAAGACCCGACCGGCGCACGGCCCTGCCTTTTCTCAGGCTGCGATTCCGAATTCCTATTCTTTCCAGAATCCGGCCCCCTCGCCCCCTTCCCTTCAGACATCACTTCCTGTCTTCCTGAATCCCGAGTTCCAGGTATTCTGCTATTCTTCTAATCTGCTGTTTAACTCTAATAGTTGTTGATTGTGGGTTGATTAGTTTCTATATGTTGATTTCTTGTTTAATTGATTTGAGTGGTGCTGTACTTCTGTAGTGATGTTGAACTATAAGTGTATTGATTTTTTTTGTACTTAAATTTAGAATTTGTGTTAATTTTATAATTGGTTGGATAAAGTTTGGAATTATGATTAAATTTATAAATTTAATTATTTTCAAGGTCTAATAAAATGGTTGAATCTGGGTGAGAGAGAGAAAAAAGAGAGGAGAGAATTAGAGAAAAAGGCCATTTTAAATTAACCCCCCCTAGGCCTTCAAACATATAGGACCAGCCCTGAAAACATGGGGAAAAGGTAATTGTAGGAAAGGAATAAAGGATCCATCCTGTGTTCAAATTTTCATCCAACTCTCCGGCTGTAGTCAACGCTCGCCGCTGATTTGTCCATCTATGCTCTGCAAACATTGAGGTTATTGTCCTTATTGACTTCTTGTTTTCATTGTTCTGTACGTCTGCCGTTGCTCGTTTTGCTCGGTTTATATTTAGGCAATAGTTACAGAGTCATTTAGGTTGCTCGATAACATTATTTTCTTTGATAACTTCCTTATAAAATTAGTATTTCCTAAGATTTGTCAGATTAAATACATTTACGTTTAGTAGCTACATAGTCGAATTAGAATTATTAATTATTTAATTGGTTGAAAAGTTATGCCATCTGTTCAACTCTGGCCTTTCAGGTTAGGACTTTTTTCCAAAGCTCTTGGCGTTACTAAAGCTGTGTATGCTTTGCTGTCATAATAATTGTTGAACAGATAATTGAATGACGCAATCCAAGGATCCTTTTGAAGCTGCTTTTGAGGAGCAAGAGGAATCACCCCCTGATTCCCCTACAAGAGCTGTGGAAAATGAAGCCCAAAATGAAGCCTCTCTTGCTCTCAATGATAATGGAACAGATGATTTTGCTTCCATTAATCATTCTGAAAACCCTTCAACCTCCTTTGCTGCAACAGCTCCCACCGCAGCTGCTAGCAAACCCAAAGAAGATGATGAAGAAGAAGAGGAAGAGCACATGGACATGCAGCTAGGAAAGTTATCATCTACTAGCGACCCAGATAAAATGGCCAAGATGCAGTAAGTTATCATAACCTTAGTACTCCTTCCGTCCCTAAATTGTTACCCAATTTGACCATGCACGAATTATAAGAAATTAAGAATAATCGTGTGGTTAAGATTTACTTAGAATAGAGAATTATTAAGAATCCTATATTGTTATTCCTAAAATGAAATAGACAATATCTTTGGGACGAATGCAAAATGAAAGTTCGTAGATAATATAAGGACAGAGAGAGCAGCTTTTATGGTTTTGTTGATCTGCCAAAACACAAGTGGTACTAGGGTATTCAATATTGCCTCCCTTGTCTTCTCCCAGCAATTTAATTTGCAACTTTGTTGAGAAATAATGTCTGCCTGGCTGCCTGCTTCAAACCTTCGTAAAAGAATTATGATGAGACTGCTTTAAGAGTTCGAGTTATATCTTAGGCTATCTTCTAAATTTATAAAAGATGTGTCTAGCTAGGCTGAATCTATTGCTTAGTCAGGGTTTGTGGATAGATAAGGGTTTGAAGGAAAAGGCATTCAATTAAAGATGTAATCCTGAGAGCTGTGAGTTGCACACAAGCTTTTCTTACTCACTAGTGTGGATGTGTGAAGAAGAAACTCATTAGAGTGAATTATACATTTTGTGCCCCCCTCCCATCGCATTGTATGTCTACTTTATCGAAAAACACACGTATTAGACATCCAGATCTTTTTTTATGAATAAAAAACTTGTGCAATTTTACCAAATTTACTCTTACTTATGAACTCAGCAGTCAGCGCATATTTAATTCAACATGTTTTACATTCTCTTTTCATCTATTTGACTATTTCAGTGGGATCTATGTTTATTTTTTATGGGTAGAATAGGGAAACTGTAATTAATCTCCCATGAGATGACTAGAGTGAATGAGTGACTAATGAAAGGACCACCAAAATTCTCCAAAAAGTGAAAAAATGAATAGGACCAGAAGTAGCAGTTTTGCATTTGAAATGTGTGAGGCATCTGGAAACTGCCTGAGTCGGAGGTCTCAGTAAGAGGTATGCACTGGTGTGATTGCTCTATTGGCTATTCTGATATGGAGTCAGGTGTTTTCTTCTCTGTGGGTTGGAACTTGGAAGTTGGAAACTTGTATGTTTATTGACTCACAGAGTTTAGTGATCCTAGGCAAGTGCATTGCTTCAGTTTTTCAAGTGTGCGCATAGAAACACCTTTCTTGTGCTTATGCCACTTCTTTTATAATTCTAATTAAATAATTCACTCATATTCTTGTCCATATGCAGAAGCATTTTGTCACAGTTTACTGAAGAACAAATGAGTAGGTATGAATCTTTTCGAAGATCAGGGTTTCAGAAGGCTAACATGAAGCGGGTATATTGTGATCTCTTATGTCGCTGGCATACTTTTTGTCAAGTATTTACAATTTACCTTGTTACATGGTAAGACATGCACCATACAAATACATGATATATGTGCCATTTTGGTTACTATGTTGGCAATGCAGCTACTAGTAAGTATTACAGGAAGTCAGAAAATTTCTATACCGATGACTATTGTGATGTCTAGTATTGCAAAAATGTTTGTTGGCGAGCTCATAGAAACAGGTATGAGAAGTAGTGTTCGGATTTGATTTCTTCAATGGTCAAGAAAAGACCACAAAGTAGTTTTTTAAACAATGACAAACACTACTTATAACATTTCATTGTTTGCTAGCTGCATTCTCGTATATCTTAATAATAATGGATAATAATGCCTTGGCTATTGGGATGTATGCAGCTAGAGTGGTGATGTCCGAGAGGAATGATGCTGGACCAATTAGACCATGTCACATTAGAGAAGCATACAGAAGACTAAAACTTGAGGGGAAGGTTCCAAAAAGATCAGTCCCACGACTTTTCCGTTAGAGAACAAATAACAATCCCAGTTCTTTTGAATGTCTTTGTATTCAAGTTTTCTTAGTGTTTTCGATAGAAGTTTTTTATAGCTGAACTCGGAGAAGGTTTTCCTTCTGTATAACATTCTGCAGTGTTATACCGATCCTTATTTTATACACACATCAACTGATAGCCATACCATTTCAAAAACTAACGGAGCCTTTCCGAGATCCCGTTGTAGCCTGTAGGAATGAAGACACTCAAGAGTCAAGAATGGACTGGTCTTCCATCTTTAATTCAGCATATTAGAAAAGTAGCCAGAGTATTGAAAATGAAGGAGAAGGATTTCATTACTTCCGTAATACCAGCACATCAGTATTTATAGAGCAGTAGCTCTTAACGAACTTGTAATAGAAAGTAAACAGCTCAAACTAACTTTAACTGCTAAACTGAATACAAAGCTATTACATTAGTCATGAATATAGTATTCCTAACATTCCCCCTTCAAATTTAGGGTGATTGATTTGGAAGATCAATCACACTAAGTTTGGTCTTGAAATCAAGGAAGGATGAGGCAGGTAATGGCTTTGTAAGAACATCAACAATTTGATAGGGAGCTGGGATATGGAATGCTTCAAGCTGTTTTGACTGGACTTGTTCCCTAACAAAGAAGAGGTCAATTTCCATGTGTTTTATGCGAGAATGATGTACTGGATTGTGTGCAAGTTGTACTGTACTAAGATTGTCACAGTAAACTCTAGGAGTGGTAAAAGGAACTTGAAGTTCCTTAAGCAAAGATTGAACCCGTAGAAGTTCAGCAACTGTATCAGCTAAGCTTCTGTACTCATCTTCTGCTGAAGATCTTGCTACTCTCAACTGCTTCTTAGACCACCAGGAGATGATATTTTGGCCAAGAAAAATGCAGGATCCAGAAGTAGACCTTCTATCAACATGATGAGATGCCCAGTCAGCATCACAGAAAGCTGAGATTGGCAGAGATATGGAGGCTAGAGACTTTAAGAATTGTGTAATCTGGAATGGTTCCATAGAGCTGGAAGTAGGGACTGGAATTAGCAATGGAAGTGGATGAGGTTCTATTTATAAGATGAATTGAGGTTGAGAAGGCAGCATCCCAAGATTTGAAAGGTAATGAAGAATGGGCTAAAATGGATAGGCCTTTTTCCACAATAGTCATGTGTTTCCTTTCCACAACACCATTTTGGTGATGTGTGTGTGGACAAATTAGCCTATGTGTGATCCCATTTTCAGTAAGAAAATTGGTGAAAGATCTAAACTCCCCTCCCCAGTCAGACTGAACAGATTTTATAGATGTGGAAAATTGAGTTTGAACATATTTATAGAAGTTTTGAAAGGTTGTGTGAGAGCATCATATTTCTTTTTCAGAAAATATATCCAAGTATATCTTGTAGAGGCATCAATGAAAGAGATATAATATGAATATCCATCAAAAAATAATATGGGTGCTGGTCCCCATAGATCAGTAAAGATAAGATCAAATGGTGAATGATAAATAGTATTAGATGATTGTGAAGGCAGTATGTGAGCCTTGCCAAGTTAACAGGAAGAACAGAAAGAAAGATCACTCTTATTTATTGAAGGCACATTACAAGTTTTTAGTACAGATTTTAGTGCTTCAAAACGGGGATGGCCTAGTCTTAAGTGCCAAACATTACAAGAAACTGATGCATTACATGAGTCAGATTTATTACAAGTGGAAACAAAGGAAAGGGGATACAAAGGTTTATTAGTTGTGGACACTACAGAAGTAAGCAGACTTGCAGACTTGAATTGATATGAACCAAGAGGAGGTATGGACTGGAACTTGTACAGACCATCTGCACCAAGAACTCCATGTAAAAGAACCTATTTAGAAACCTAAGATTTGACATAACAATCATGAGGATAGAACTCAAAGAAAACATTATTGTCTTTTGCAAATTGACTGACACTCAAGAGGTTTTTGGTGATGGAGGGAACATGAAGCATGTTAGTGAGTGTAAGATACTGAGAATTAGAATAGGGAGAAAGAAAGGAAGAAAAACCAATAGATTTTATATCCACACCTTGATCATTACCCATAAAGAGTTTGTCAATTGAAGCAAGTGGTTCACTGTGCTGGAAGTTGAGTGGATCAGCAGTTATATGGTGAGTAGCACCTGAATCTGGGAACCATTGTTGAATGGATGGGCCTGGTCCAAGAATATAATTGGTACTGACAAAGGCTGCAGATGGTAAATGTCTGACTGAGTGCTGATCCCAATTAAAAATCTCTGGAGCTGTAGATCGTTGATTGAAAGAGTGGTCAGGATGAGGTGAAGAATTGTAGTGTTGAGGTGTATTCTGCCTGGGAGCATAGGAAGTTGGATAGTTAAAATGAGGTTGAGATTGATAGTATGGATTAGAGGATTGTTATGAAGATCCAGTAGTAGAATTGGTATAGGTTGGATTAGGGTTTGAATTGGTAAAATTAGGATTATAACGGTGATAACATATTAAGGCATGATGTCCAGGTTTTCCACACACTTGACAAATTACTGAGTTACGACCTCCAAAGCGACCTCCTTTACCTCTGCTAGGACCTCCACGACCTCGTCCTCTATAGGAATTTGAGTGATTAGGGTTATTGAATTGCGCCACATTCCATAGCGACCTCCGTTATGGAATTTTTTGCCTCATTTGATTTGTCTGTTGTTCCTTTTCCTTGCTTGTATGAGTCGTTTTATGGTTTTAATCTGCTCGATCGATGTCTTCTTGCTGTTTTGGACTTAGAAATTTCCTTGGCTCGATCTGACTCATTCGGGATGCATCAGCCCTTGAATTAGGTTTTGGACTTAGAAATTTTCTTGGCTCAATCTGGCCCGTTCGGGATGCGCCAGCCCTTGAATTAGGTTTTGGACTTAGAAATTTTCTTGGCCCGATCTAGCCCGTTCAGGAAGATGTGAACCTTGGTGGGGTTTTCAATCTCGTGTCAATTTCATGGTGGACCTTAGGGGTCTCTGCTCGGGATCTGGAGGACTTAGCCCAACCCCATTATTTTAGGACTCAAATTTTTGCTGGTTTCTTAAGCCGTTCAGTACCTGGGTCAATCAAAGCTCGTTTATGATCTTTCAAATGATTTCGGGCCGCTCGAGGGGTATTTCTTGTTTTGTTCTCATACCGTTCAGAGTACCTGCTCAGGGGGAGAATTTTTTATTCCATGAATCTCTTTCCATATGATTCGTACCAGCTCCTGATTAGCAGTCTGTTCGAGATGTTGAGCTCTTACGATCACGTTGCAGGCATTTGGGCCGCTCAACCCTGATTCTTTGTTGATTTGAGCTTTGATCACCCGATCATGCAGATCATTAAGTAAGTTTTGGTGAATTACTTAGTTAATGTCTGCCATCTTCCAAACCCCTAATTCCGATGCAACCCGTTCGGTTCTGCCGTTCTGGGCCATCCATATTAAGGGATTGAGATGTCCATTTTCAAACTAAACACAAAATTTCCTGTTCGGGACATTTTTTGTGCTTCAAGCTAAAATGGAGACTCACCTCCAAGTTACAGCTCGGATTCCACCATAACGATTCCCCTTCGTCGTGGTTCGTCAAAGCTATAGACTGAGGCAAGATTTAAAAAACCAGAGTCCCGACTCCCCGCTCGGTCACCCATATCACCGAATGCCGCCCGGTTCACCCTACTCATAGTTTTACACCATCTCTAAACTGGCTTGGATCCCCTGCTCGGTCATCCGGAGCACAAGACCAAGTCCAAGCTGAAATGGAGGCTCCCTCTAGACTAAGATGGTGGTTCTCATTTGGTGATCCATAATGATTGCCAACAATGCTTGGTCGATGTGAGGCTTCTGGCCATGGTTGCAATATTGCCACTTGGTCTTTCTGACCTGGTTATCCAACTTTTGGCCTTTCGCAGAAGTACAATTCTCCCTCTCTTTTTTTCTTTTTTTTTAAAGAGGTGGCAACATTCGTTTCATTGATAAAACTTCCTCAGATGTTCGACATTCCATGCTCCTGCCGATTGGCCTTCGGTAGTCTGAAGGCAGAATGTTCCTGTGGCATATTTCTTCTCTACCCGATAGGGGCCTTCCCAGTTTTTTGCCATCTTCCCGCCTTCCATCAGTTTGCTCTTTTCTCTCTTCTTCAGGACCAAGTCTCTTACTTTGATTGAACGGATTCTGACCTGTTTGTCAAAGTATCTCTTGGTTGCTCGGTGATATTCCTCCATTCACAGGGCCGCAAGGTCCCCTCCTTTCTTTTATAAAATGGAGTTCAGCACGCAAATTGTCGTCATTCTGTTCTGGATCATAATGGACTGTCCAGTGTGTGGGTACCAAGACTTCAGTTGGTACTTTGGCCTGGAATCCATAGGCAAGGGCAAATGGCGTCTCTCCGGTGGCCGTTCGGGGTGTTGTCCGGTAGGTCCACAGGATGTAATTCAGTTGTTCGGGCCAGGTGGAGGCATAGTCTTCTAGCTTCTTTTTCATACCATCCATGATGGTCCGGTTCATGTTTTCCACTCGGCCGTTCGCCTGGGGGTATGCCACAGAGGCTCTGGAGTGTTTAATTCCCCACTTGATGAGGAAATCTTCAAAGTTCCTGCTCACGAACTGTCTTCCGTTGTCTGTGACGACCTGCTCGGGAAGCCCAAACCTACAAATAATGTTTTGCCAAACAAAACGTTGGCACCGGAAATCTGTGATGCTGGCCAGCGGTTCGGTTTCTACCCATTTGGTGAAGTAGTCAATCCCTACAATGATATACTTCCTTCCCCCTGAAGCTGTAGGTAGGGGCCCTAGCAAGTCGATCCCCCACCTAGCGAATGGTAAGGCAATAGTCATTGGGGTGTAGAATGTCGCAGGCCGTCCGGGAACCGGTGCATAGAGTTGGCAAACTTTGCACTTCCTAGTGTGCGCAAAACAGTCTTGCTGGATGGTCGGCCAGTTGTAACCCTGCAAAATGATCTTCCTGGCCAGAGTCTTTGGCCCTTGATGGCTAGAACATATTCTTTCGTGGATTTCTTCCATCACAGTGGCTGCTATATCAGGCGGGAGACATCTCAGATAAGGCCCCCCGAACGTCTTTTTGTATAGCCGCCCGTCCACCAGCTCAAACATTGGGGCTCTCCTTTGGATGCATGTCAAGTTGTATATATCATTTTTATCATTTGGCAGTGTCC